TCTTTGTCTCTACCTGGAACTCCGTTACCCCAAACTGAGACCCCGCCAGCACGAATTCTCCCTCCTCTCCGATGTCCGTGCTCCTTCCTGTTTCCTTGTAGGGATGGGATGCAGAAGGCGCTAAGGGCACACTTCTTGACTTAAATGTTCCCGGCATTACACAACTCTACTAAGCTTACTTACCTGGTTCCTAAGCCCACAGACTGGATGTAGCAAATCGGGGCATTACTGAAATGTGACTGCGGGAGCCTGCACCACGCACCTATCACCTGTTTGCGGTGTGCCAAGGTGACACCTTTGGGCCACCAAGGAGAGGCAAAGTGGAGGACACATCACCTGGATTTTGGAGGGTGGATTCTGGCGGGCTGCACCCTCCGAACCAGATCTTCTTTGGCGCTTAGATGATTATTTTGTACTCTTGATTATGTGCTAATTAGTGCTCCTCCCATAAGGGAGTCTGGTTAAGTTCCAAATAAGGGTGCCACGAGGGTCAGAAGGCAATGAATTGTCAGCTCTGAATGACAAGAGGTGATCTCAGTTGTAGTTAGGTTTCGTGAGCTTCCTGAGCGTGAAAATCATGTTAAAATTGTGTGCAGTCAAAAGGCTCCGAGGGGCGAGTCTAAACCTCGAAGCCTGCCCCTGACTTCCTATTTCACAGAAATAGATCTAGACTCAAGTTGTCTCTACTTAGCTGCTTGATCTTAAGCAGTCGTAAATTTGATCTCAGCAAGTTACATTTCTCTAGGCTTCAGTCTACTTATCTGTCAAAGGAAGATATTAATACCTACCCCATTTGGGTTATTGTGAGGATTAAATACACACTGACATACTTAGAATGGTGTCTGGCAATAGTAAGCTCTCAGAAAATATTAGCTATTATATTAACCCAAATGTGCCCTTTCTTCAATCAGTCATATTCCTGGACAAATCACAGCTTTGGAAGTGGCCGCCATTTACAGAAAATTGTGAGATCGTGGCCTCCTGGAGTTGTGTAGCACAATGCTGGCTGGCCTCTGCTCATTTTTTCTTAACCTCAAAGCTATCCTAAATAAATTTCAAATCATTCCCCTAAGACACACTGTCCATTCCCATCAAACCAAATGAAAAAGAAAACTCCCCAAGAAACAATGAAATACACATTATTTTCTCTTTTTGTCCCTATAAGTTTTAAGATTTTCGGTACATTAATTTCCTATCAAGAACACTTGGGTAGCCCAGCTGGTGCGGCTCAGTGGCTGAGCGTGGTCCCATGCACCAAGAAATCACCGGTTCCATCCCTGGATAGGACACACGCCCAGGTTGGGGGCTTGATCTCCAAATCTGGGCAAGCAGGAGGTAGCCAATTGATGTTTCCCTCTCATCAATTTCTATCTCTTTCTCCTTTTCCCTTTCTCTCTCTTAAAACAAAACAAAACACTTGGGTAATAAATATTAAACAAAAGGTATTTCTTTGGGGGAAAATCATGAAACAACTTTTTACTATGAAATTGGATCTGAATTTAGAGTAGTAAAATTATGCTTCTTGTAGTTATAAAATTAATCCCAGTCCAAAGAACGACTAACAAACTATTAGTATCCTGTGGACAGGTTACTGTGTAAACTGCAACAAAGTAAAGTTATTAGTGGTATTCAAATTCACAATATATTTTAGTTTACACCTATACTTAACTCATTCAGAGTTAATTTCAAATATAAGGTTCAGCCCATTAATAACTTGATATGTTCTGTTGAAGTTTTCACTTTTTTCCTAATTCTGAAAGTACTTCTATACATTCTGAAATGGCATTTCAGTAGATACACAAAAGGTGGCAAATCAGAACCAATTTCTTCTTTCAAGGTTAAACTAATACTAAAACATGCTACTATCCAAACATCTTCATGAAAATTAACTACTGAGAGTTGGTAGTTCTCTGAAACTTGTGTAAATTTTATTTATTACTAAAATTGAAAACATCTTAAAGTTAAGACCCAAACCCTCTAGAAAAAATCTCTAAGGGCATCCAATCCCTTTGGTTGAAACTAGGTAACAAAAGAGGCAAAAGACATGGTTTGTGATGAATCCTAAAATTCAAATACTAGTGTTTTCAAGCTTTAATAAAGTATATTCCAATTCCAAGTACCAAGTATGATATCAAAATTCAAATTCACCGATGTACTCTTAAATAAGCATCAAAATACAAGTTTTGTTCACTGAGTCCTATTTTCCTTTTGATTTGCACAATGCATTCAGAGATGAGTTATAATTAGGAAAAAAGTGTCTACTGAATGCATCATGTTTAAAATGCAATTAACAGTTCAAAACCAATCATACTTAAAAGGGCAAACACCTAAAAAGTTAACTTGAGTCATAAAATTATTTGAGGCAGTATTATCCTGTAGATAAAAATACATTTGTTGTATATACATGTAGGTTTCTACATGAAAGAAAGGATTCCGCTCCAAACAGAAAAGGACTGGCCCTTGATAAAGACATGTTAGACTGACAAACAGATGTGATGACCACCGCAAGGAGAACTGGAAATGGAAGGATAAAAGGTAAGTTAAAGGAAGGGTAAAAGTTTAGTCACCTGCTCCTGAATAGTGGCAGAGTTGGGCAAGAAGCAGGAGATGAAGGCAGAGTAAGACATAGAAGAAAGGCAAAGAAGGCCTCAACGCTGACCAGAAAGGACTACAGACAGAATCAAGCCAAGTTGAGGACAGATATGCTATAGCTGCAGTGAGATGCTTGAAATTAGAATTTGGTAGTTGACAGTTACAGAAGCGCAATTGAGTCATCTAAAATGGAATTAGACAAAGCATCTGCAATTTCGTGGAGAACCAACATTACAGTGACAAGATAACTCAGCATGATGTCATTCATAAAACTTGCCCAAACAGCATCAAGTCACCAGAAGACCTTTGCTTCCGACGACATTCTTTCAAGCTTATCAAAGTCCCTGACTGACTGGGAGAGACAACGCAGTGCCCCCAAAGGAAACTGCTGAGATGTGATCTTAGGTTCTTCAAAGTGAGGAGACTGGACCAGGTTTCTTCCAAGCAAAACATTTTATCGTTTTGTAGACAATGAATCAAACAGGATTGTTTAGAATAACCCCAACTTTGGTGGGGAAATTAAGCAAGATAAGGAACCCCCGCAGAAATTTCATGCAAAGGCAGAGCATTCAAATTCTGTCTCCTAATTAATGTTGTGTGCAGAAGTCTCCTGTAAAAGAAAGTTGCCTAACAGAAAAGTTACC